AGGGCTCACTGCTTCCGGCCCAGCTGCCGACGTCCCTCCACCTACTTTCAGCCTTAGGTTTCCTTAGTTTTTACAGGAAGACCTACTGGGTGCGCGTCAGTCAGACCTCAGCACCGGGCGAGGCCCACCAGGTGGAGGCCTTTCCCAGCAGCACCCAGACCCGAACCCTGAGCAAGCCCAAGGCCCCATCTCCACGGCCTCCGAAAGACCTTCAGAGCGTCACCGGAGCTGGACTCCCTTTTCCTCACCCTCCCAGCCGCCAGCTGACCCCTCCGCCTGTCCACACGACCCCAGACCCAAGGCATCTCTGCCAGGGCGCTCACCCGCCTCCACACGGTGGCCAAAGCAGAGGAGTCCCTCCTGCACGCGGACCGCCCCAGGCCCCTGAGTGGACTGGCACATCACGCTCCGCCGTGAGCGTCCTCTCTGGCTGGCTCCCTAGGCCTTGCTCCACAGACACCCACCTGTCCCGAGGCCCCTCACTTTCCGGGGTGCTCCCACGCAGCCCCACCCCACCGCCTCCCTAGAGCAGCGCCACTTCTGATGCCCTCTCCTCTCTGTACCCGCGACCTGGGGTATCTCCCAGTGGGGTGGGGGCGCCTGGCTCCCCATCACTGACAGTCCCACCTGGTACCCCGGTGGCTCTGTGCATCCTCTCCCGGCCCTCTCCAAATGACTACTGCCTTGGGGCAGCTGTGGGTCGGGGGAGGTGGCCGGGCCACAGGGAGGTCTCTCTCCAAGGGTCTTGAAGGGGTGGAGGTCTGCAAGCTACTCAGGGTCACGACCCCCGCCTCGTCTCAGGGTGTGCGGGTGCCACTCCTCCAGGGCCCAGCCCAGCCCCCCCCTGGAAGCAGCACCCACCGGGATGCTGGGCCTCCTCTGGGCTTCAGCTTAGGGTGGACGTGATCTGCAGGGAGCCACAGGCAGGGGACCAGCTGTGGGAGCTCAGGGGCTCCGGATGCCCATCTCCCCTGATGGGGTCAGGGAACGCCTCAAGACGGTGGCCTCGGGGTCCCGGCAGACAAGGCCCAGGCCTCAGCACCCAGCCAGGGCCAGGGGGCTGCACGCCGGCCTCGGGCCTGGCTCCTGCCCCACCCCTGCCCCCACCCAGGCCACCGTCTCCCTCTGAACTCACTGCAGCCCCGCTCGGCCCCTGCCCCAGCGCAGGCCACAGCTGCCAGCGTCTGTCCCCAGGGAGGCTGCCCAGGCAGAAGGGAAGGTCCCTCAGGGCAAGGCTCCTGGGCGGCCTCCTGAGGCTGGGCTTCCACCAGAGTGGCCCTCCTGGCTGCCCCAGAGCAGAGGCCTTCCTCGCCCCCAGCAGGCCAGCCCCTGCCGAGAGGCTGATTCAGTACCAGGGCTAGGCCAGCCTGGGCCTGCGGGCGGAGCAGGTGGCTCCGCGGTGCCAGGAATGCCACGGGCTTCCGGAGGGGCCGAGCGCCCCCTCCCACTCCAGTCCCAGAATAGCCCCTCCCTGGGCCTGCGGTCAGGACGCCGTCCCTGGCCCTGGCCGGGAGGGTGTGGGGCCTGTCACCACCTGTGTCCACTCCCCAGGGTCTGGCTAGACGCCCAGGAGGTTCTGGGCTTGGGGAGGGATGGCCATGGCCTGACAGATGCCTGTTCCCACCTCCAGCTGCTCTGGGGGCACCTCATGACCCTAGTGCTGCAGCTGCGTGGCACCCTGCCAGGACTGCCCAGCAGCCGGGTGAGTCCCGGGCTCTTGTGGCAATGGGGGCTGTCCACCTCAGTCCATGCATGTGCTCAGACCCTGTGGGGTGGGCACCAGGGTCAGCCTCACTTACCCATCAGGAGCACGGGGGCCAGAGGGCAGGACGCAGCCCAGCCAGAGCCCACCACCTCCCACCACATCCACCTCCGGGGCTGCGGTCCCTCCCCGCCCTGTTCGCTGCCCACTCGGTGGCCCAGGAGCACATGTCCCTGGCCCTGCTTCCCCTCTGGTCAGGACCCAGGTGGTGGCTGGGTGCACAGGCCGTGGGCACACAGGGCAGACCCAGCCTTGGAGCGGAGGGAGGGGCCGCGGCGGGGGCAGAGCTCTGGGAGGGGAGGAGCGGGCGCGTCAGAGCGGGAGGAGGCCCCTCGAGAGGCACCCAGCGCTGTGCCGGGCCCCACCTACCATCTGCAGGACCCCGAAGAAGGACATGAGGTAGCCAGCCTGGGAAGGCTCCAGCTGGAAGAAGTCCATGGAGATGATGGAGAACATGATCATGAAGAGACCTGGCGGGCGGTGGCGGGCGGTGGCGGGCGTGGTCAGGGCTCTGCTGATGTCCAGGCCGCATCCCCAGGTGAGCCCCCCAGGTGAGGCCCACAACCCTGCCACTGCGTGCATCTCCCCTCGGACTCCTGGGGAGGGGCCTGCCTGGCCAGGGAGGGACCCGTGACACCAGCTGGACCAGAGACCCTTTCTGGGACCCCACTGCCCAGCTGCAGTCTGAGTGGGGGGGTTCTAGACGGCAGAGCCGGGGCGGCCATGTGCAGCGGCTGGCCCCAGCCTCACGTGACTCCAGCCCTAGCCCTCAAAGGCCCTCACTGAAGCTGCGGCCTGGGCTCCAGGTCTGGACCCCAGATGGCCCTGGGGGGTCAGCAGGGCCCAGCCAGGCCTGGGCAGCGGCACTAGGCACAGGCCACAGGCTCCTGCTGAGGAGAGGCCCACCTTCAGCGTGACTGTCCCTGCAGCTGGTGTCACTCAGGAACCCCACGTTAGAACTGGGCAGGGTGTCTGAGTGACAGGATCCCTACTGGACACAACCACGGCTGGGTAAGCTGTGACCAGTGCTGCCCGACGGGCACTGCCGTGGTCCTGGGCTGCACGTCATTTCCCAGGTGCCTGGGACACCCGCTCACTCCAGATGTACAGAGGGTGAGGTGGGGCCTGTGGGCCTCGCGCTGCCCCTGGGTGGCCCCTCCTTGGTTCCTCCAGGGCTGGGGTCCGGAGGGGGCAGGGACGTGAGGGAGACACCTGTTTTGCCGTCTTCTCCTGAGCTGGACACCTGCATGAGCCTTGTGGTCTCCAGGGACAGGCGAGACTGACCAGGGCTAGCCTGGAGCACGGGGGAGGGGCCGCCCCCTGCCCCAGGGCCGGGACTTGGCCCCACCAGGCCCTGGGCGGCCCTGGGGAGGGGAGGTCTGGACTGACCTGAGGGGAAGCCAGAGACCACCTTGATGAGGAACACTGGCAAGATGCCGGGCAGCAGGAGCAGGCGGCTGATGGCCTTCAGGTCGAACACACTGGCCTGGGGCCCACCTGTCCAGGCACATTGGTCAGAGGCTGGAAGCCCTTGGCCTGGCTGCGGGGCAGGGCTTCAGGGCTCACTCCCCAGGCCCAGGCAGGAATGGGAGTTGACCGCAGGCTCGGTCCCCCTCACAGTGCTGGTGGGCACTGTGCAGTCGGCACCCCCACAGGGCCATGGATTCTGGGAGGTGACCGGGCCTGGGCCTGGACAGGAGCAGGGGCGACCCTCAGTTCCCAGCCCAGGTGACCCACGGCTGGCGGCGGCCAGTGAGGCCTGCCCGACCCGGGACGTTCCCGAGCAGTGTCCAGGCCTCCCAGCTGCTCCTGGCTGCTCCCTGCCTCTGGCCCCCACTCCAGGCCCTGCCCTGGCCCCTCTCTGGCCATCTGTCATGGCCCCCTATCCCAGGTAGTCTCTCCAGCTGACCTCTCAGTCACTGGGCAGAGGCATGGGGTCTTGCCACATGCCAGGCATAGGTAGGGCCCAATGGGGGCCACCCTGGAGGGGTCCCCTCTGAGGAGCTGACCTGGCCTGCACTCTGCCCCTCCTGGTGCCCTCAGATGTGCCTGGAGCCCCGGCCCAGCACCCTGACACTGCCCGGGACACTCGGACCCCAGGGACCTTGCAGCCTGCCGGCCCCGCTCCCTGTCACTCCCGGTTTTACTCAGGTCTCTCTGTGTCCCCTCTAAGGCCTCCCTGGGCACGTGAACTTGGTGGGGCTTACCTGGGGGAGCAGCCTGGATATCAACAGTGGCCCCTTTGGTGCTGGCCGGGATGCAGGTGACACTGATGATGGCTCCCAGGAGGTTGGCCACAAGTGCCACGATGGCTGGACAGTGGACCCTGGGGGCAAAGGTGTGGGGGTGTGTGGGTCCCAGGGCCTGGGCCCCATCCTGCAGCTACCTGAGGCCTGAGCTGCAGGAGGCCACGCCATGCCAGCACCCTTCCCTGTAGCCCAGGGGAAGGCACCAGGACCCCAGGGCACCTTTACGAGGTGACAGACGGAGCGGGTGAGTGCCAGCCACCCCTGACCTTTGCCACGGCACACAGGCTGGCAGCCTCTGTGGATGGGTGGCAGAGCCAGAAGGCGAGCGCAGAGCGGGGAGCAGGACAGGCCCCAGAGGTCAGGCCTGGGGTGTGTGTGTCCCTGCAGAACCCCCCAGCGACCTGGGGCCTGGCACTGTGTCACATGGAGGACAGTGGACACCTAGAGGTCCTCAGGAAACGCCTCCCCTCCCCACTGCCTAGAGGCTGGGGCCTGCTGGGTCTGGGAGGGCTTGCCCACTGCCCTCCGACCCCACCGCGTCCTGCAAGGCCCAGGCACACCCACTCCTCCGAAGCAGGACTCCTCATGGAGCCAGGCTGCGGCCTCCAGACTGGGACACCCTTTCCCTTGCGGTGTAGCAGACCCCCGTCCATCCTGCCAAGGCCCTTCCCAGTGAGGCCCAGGCCCTTGTCCCCAGATGGACCCAGTCTGTAGGGCCCTGGTCGCAGAACTCGCTTCACCAGATGGTCAGAACCTGGCCCCTGCGGCCCTGTGGGCCTAGGTAGAACCCGGTGTAGACCCAAGCCAGTGTGGGCAAAGTCCCGCCTCAGCCCTCATCAGTGCCCCCAAATCTGCCCGGGTCAAGGCCTCAGGGTGCAGACACAAGTGGAGGTCAGGGTCCTGGGAGAGCCCCGAGTCCCCAGACAGGGACACGCCAGCTGCCAGGGTCCCTCCCAGGTCAGACTCCCCTGTCCTTCCCCGGGGTCACAGGTGTCTGTACACACACGTGCACACACAGGCACACCTGCGTCCGAGCTGTGGCCGAAACCCAGGAGCAGGGAAGGACGGGGCTGCCAGCGAGGCCACAGAGCAGGGGTCAGGCCTCTGCCAGTCGTGCTCCTCAGCAGGGCTGGCTGCCGCCTGTGCCCCCACATCCGGGGCCCCAGGCCCACTGCCCAGGAAGCTGGGCGGTGGGCTGCCAGGGTTCCACACAGACGGGCCTTTCATCCACCAGCAGGAGGGAGGTCAGAGGGCAACGGACCCCAGAGCAGGGCCTCTCGGGGCTCTGGAGACAGGCAGGAAGTGATGTGTGCGTAGAGAGGGACCCCCACCAGGGCTGCCCGGGGAGGAGCCTCTCTTCTGGGCTCTGCTCTCTGGGCACGGACGTCACTGTCAGGGCCTGGCCAGGCAGGGACAAAACGTGCTTTCTTTGCCAGATGCCCCGGAAGCGTGCAGGGCAGAGGCGGCCCCTCAGATGGCTATTTTGGGAAGCTGGTGACAAGTGAGGGTGGGTGGCAGGGGGCCAAGTCCCTACTTCTCATGTCTTGGTGTCCCTTGAGTGATGGCCAGCAAGCCAAAGGCCAGGGCTTCCTTGGAGGTAGAGGGCCTGGCGCTGGGAGACCTGAGCGGGCCCTGGGGGGAGTCAGGCCCCCCAAGCCCCCAGAGCCCGAGTGGGCCACTGTCCCGGGAGCCCGAGGGGGACCATTCTTTTCCCGACTCAGAGCTCCTTCCGACTTCCCAGAGCAAAACGCCTGAAAGGAGACTGAAAGTGAGAGGGCAAGTGGCGGGCAGCCTGCCCGGGCCCTCTGTGTGCTGCTTCTCCAGCAGGAAGCACCTCCCAGCTCTGCACCTCGCCAGACAGGGTGGCCTTGTCCCAGGGGCCTGCGGGGCACGCACCCCAGCACACGGCCCTCCCCGGATCTGCCCAGGGGCAGGCGGCCCAGGAGGGCGCTGGGCTGCGCTTGGCCCCGCTGGCTTGGTCCACTCTTTTTATTGGTTCCGATGCTGGGATGGAACCCAGGCCTCGCGCATGCAGGCAACCGCTCTACCCCCGAGCACACCCCAGCCTCGTGATTTCTCATTTTGAGTCAAGGTTTCCCTAAGCTGCCGAGGCTGAGCTTGAACTTGAAGTTTTCCTGCCTCAGTCTCTCAAGTCGCTGATTACAGGCCTGCACCACCGCGTGTGGTCAGTCTTTGATTTTAATGTATAAACTGAGCCAAGGTTGTGCGACCCACTGGGGCCTCGCCTTCTACAAGGGCGGGTGTCCTCCAGCCCTGACCTGGGGATCCGGGAAGTCCCCCACCTTGGCCACGCACTCCAAGCTTACTGCAACACATCAGCTCCGTCCTCCGCTGGTCTGGCTGGCCCTAGCCCCATGCACCCTGCCGCCTGAGCACAGGATGGCCACATGTGAACAGGTGGGTGCAGTGTGACCCACTGGGCCTCACCTTCCACAGGGGGCAGCCTGGACTTGGCCTGGGGGCCGCAGTCAGCCAATGCCCATTCCACGTAGATGTTTCCAAGATGATTGGGTTGCCTAGCCCCCCTCTTCTGGGTGAATACAGGAACAGGAGGCTGATGACAGGTGTACTGGAAGGGCAATGGGCAGGCCTCGGTGATCTGGCTGCCCAGTCCTTCCCTGGCTACCTTGCTGGGTGACCTCATTCCATCAGGGGCACAAGAGGGCTGTCCTGGAAGCCACTCCATCCCCCATGCTGCCTGCCAGCCACCGGAGAGGCCTCTGGCACCCGCAGCCACACCTCAGGCAAACAGCGGCAGCCACGGGCCTTTCATCCTTATCTCCAGGGCCAGAGTTTGCCAACTTCATCAGGAGCGGACGGCCTGGGCCTGCCTCCCGCATTCAGGCTCTGCCCCTTCCGTCCCTCTGCCTGGGAGGGAAGACAGCAGCTCACCAAGCCGGTGCCCCTGCCAACTGGCCCTGGGCTCCAACAGGACCCCTGCTGCCCGCTGTGGCTCAGGCCCTGCTGTGCACCCCACTCCAGGTGCAGCTCAGGGTCCCTGCTGTGCACCTGCCTCATGTCCCAGGCTGGGGTCAGCTGGGACCCAAATTCATAAGGCACCTGTCTTGAAAGGAGCAGAGGCAGGGGATCCAGAGAGCCCTGGGGCCCAGGGCGAAGTCCCTTCCCCACCCGCCTCACCATATGGTGCTGTCGCAACCAGGCCATCCTGCAGGGTCACTTCTGACACACACTCTGGCTTCCAGGGACCCAGAAAGAGGTCCGAGCCCCCTCTGGCCCAACACTCCAGGCCTGCTCCCTCCACCCCTCGGGCCTCCAGCCACCCACCAGAGCTTCCTGCCCAGGGCCTCTGCCGGACTTCCGCCATCCTCCTTCCCCTGTGCCTCCTCCTCTCAGGGGGCCCCGCAGCTGGTCCCTTTTGGCCTCTCCTGCCCTGTCCCTGTGCTTTCAGCACTCAGGACACCAGGTCCTTCTGTCCTTCTGTCCTTCCCCGCGGGCCTGGTTCCCTCCTGGCCATCAGCAGCGTTGCCCAGGTGAGCTGTGCCTGAGTCACTCCTGCCTCCGCCGTCCCGGCGGCCTGGACGTCTACCCATGAACTTCCAGGGACACCGGTCAGCAGGGTAAGGGCCCCCACTCCCTCGCCCACACCCAGGCCCCAGGGGCCACTCAGGTGTGAGAAAATGTGTGCTGAGTCACCCGGAGGCCTCCATGGGTACAGCTCAGGGCTAGGGTCACACCAGCCCCTTGGTGCTCATCTCGGGGCAGCCTGACCTCCAGAGCTGCGGAGCGTCCGCGGAGCGTCCAGCACTCAGATTGCTGCTAGCCCAGTGGTGTGTGTGCAAACCTGACTGCTTCCAGGTGGGCAGAGCCCTCGGGGGGCTGAGGCAGGAGTCCTGGGCTATGACTCACTGTGTGGCCCTCACTGACCGAGTGTCCTTCCTGGAGACAAGGGCGGGTGTCCTCCAGCCCTGACCTGGGGATCAGGGAAGTCCCCCACCTTGGCCACGCACTCCAAGCTTACTGTAACACATCAGCTCCGTCCTCCGCTGGTCTGGCTGGCCCTAGCCCCATGCACCCTGCCGTCTGAGCACAGGATGGCCACATGTGAACAGGGGGTGCAGTGTGACCCACTGGGCCTCGCCTTCCACAGGGGGCAGCCTGGACTTGGCCTGGGGGCCGCAGTCAGCCAATGCCCATTCCACGTAGCTGCTTCCAAGATCAAGAGCTTCATGGCCAGGCCCTCTTCCCTGCCCCTCAGGAACTTCAACACGACCTACACGGGACTCCCAGGCTCCCTGCTCCATCTCCTTCCGGTGGCTCAGGCCAGACGGCGGTCTTCCCAGACAGCCCACACCCACCCTCTATCTTCAGCTGGGCCCGGGGCTGACCTCTGCTCAGGCGGCACTGACCCCTTCTTGGCTCACCCACCTCAACAGCCTTTGGGACCCCAGCAGCACCCCACCTGCCCTGAGGTCCACCCCACATCCACAGGGATCTCCCAGCCAACATCGCTGGGTCCCTCAGCCCTGTGCTCAGCGCTGGAGGCCCCTGGGACACTCAGGCAGAGGCAGAATCCTCGCTGCCCTCCCCTTCCCTCTGGCCTTTGTCCCTCCCCTGCTTGGCTCCAGTCACCCTGGCCCCTGGCTTCTTCTGCCCACAGGGCTGCACCCCAGCTGCCGGGATCCCATGTCTCATGTGCTGTCACCATGCGGGTGGCCACCTGTACACCTGAGCAGCTCCACGCTGTGGCCCAGGGCATGCCTGGACTGGAGGCAGGCACACAGCAGGCTCCGTGAACCTGTGCTGGGTCCTGGAGGCCTGTGGGCCGTCCCCAGGCAGGGGCTCAAGGCCATGAGTCAGAGAGCCACATCCACCTGCTGGTGTGCTGGCTCTGGGTTCAGTCCCCGCCCCCGCCCTCCGGGCAGCCTGGCCTCCGACCCTGAGCTTGAGGCTGAGCCCAAACCAGTTAAACCGGTGCCTGCTCCCACAGGCCCCATGCCAAGGCCACTTCCTCCTCCCTGCTGAGTCTGGGCGGCAGGGAATGGCATGCCTGGGACCCTCAGGGGCATAAGGCACCAGATGGGCAGCTAGACGGCAGCCGGGGGTCTCCACATCCTACCCTGGTTCTATCAGGGGTAGGGGAGGACAGGCTTGGTGTGGCTGTCAGTGACCCAGGGCAGGCTTCGGGGTTATGGGGTGGCCTGAAGGAGGGAGACAGCAGCCCACCTCCCAGCCCCCATGTGGGAATGGGACGGAGTAGCACCACGGGGGAGACAAGGCCACCCACAGCTGTGTGGACCCTGGTGGACAGCGTGGCTCAGAGGATGGTTGGCCAGCCCCTTCTGGAAGGAACAGGAGCAGAGCTGAGAGCCAAGCCATCCTCTGTCCCTACTCTGGACAGCCAGCGCAGGGGGCTGGAGGGGCAGCTCTGGCCTCGAGGGCCCTGCAGCGCCCTGAGTCTCCAGTGTGGCATGAAGACTGTAGGTCCCCCCGTGCACTGTGCACACACCCCAGCCCTGGGCCTGTTTCCCCACCATCAAAGGAAGTGTTGAGGTTGACCTGGTTACAGATCAGTGTCAGGTTATCCAGGGCCTCAGATCCTCAGCAAGCCAGCAAGCTGATGGAATGTTCTGGGAGTGGGGGCAAGAGTGGCAGCGACCTTGGGGAGCTGTGGGAAGTGAGCAGTGTCCTCTAGCTCAGCGGCTGGGACGCAGAAAGGACAGGTGAGAGAACAGGGAACGGAGGCGGGGCCAGGCAGGTGAGGCGGCCGGCGGAGCCTGTGTGGGTGCGCTTGCCCCACATACCTTCAGCCCCTGTATGGCCCTGCACGTGGGGACCCCCTGAGCACTCCTCAGCCAGTGCAGGTTAGGGGCCCCTGCTGATGGCCCTGAGGTGACCCCACCTGTCTGGGCTGTGTCCCCGAGTGGTGGCATCCCAGAGGGCCCTCTCCCAGCCCTGATACCTGCTGGTGTGCCCTCTGCATCCCCTCCTGCCTCTCCTCACCCTAGTTGCCCTAGAGACTGGCCTCAGGGGCAGCAGTGACCGGCTCCTGCCCGCCACTGGCTCCCCTCATGCCTGGCCCATACCTGCCTGCCTTCTGTGCCTTCCTGCTGCCCCACCAGGGCTGCCCTGCATGTGCACCCTGACCCTAGGCCCCAGGAAGACCCCCAGGAAGGCTCCCCAGCCCCAGGTCGGCCAGTCCTTCCTGCTCCCTGTCCTGCTCCCCGGGGTCCTTCCCAGGGGCGCCTCCACCCTGAGCAGAGCCCACCGCGGCAGCCTTGGCCTCCGTTGGAAGTCAGAACTTGGGGCCCTCGTTGCTGCACAGAAGCACTCTGGCCACTACTGGGCCAGGGCTTCCCCGGCCACTGGCAGCCATGAGTGCCCTCTGAGCACCGCCTGGCCTCTGCTGTCTTCTTATCCTACATGCCAAAGTGCCAGAGGCGCGGACCCAGCGCCTGCCCCTTCCCCGGCTGCACAGTCCCTCATCTGGCGCCTAGGCCAGAGCTGCCTGAGGCCCAAGGCACCCAGCTAGAAGACTCAACCCCCACAGTGCCTCGGGCCCCCCCAGTTAGGGCATAGCCTTGGCATCGTGTCTGCACCCTCCTCCCACCCCCCACCAAACCAGGCCAAAGCTGCCCTCTCCCTGTGGCCAACGGATGGTGCAGGAGCACCTCCCACGCCTCTGTGTCCCTGCTGAGGGCTCACCACCACTCAGCTGTGTGGTCCAGCTGCCACTCTCCTCGGGCCTCTGGACCCAGGGCTCCTCACCTGCCTGCACCCAGCACCTCTGCACCTGCTGATTTCCTGCACCTGCTCAGGTCTCTGCTCACAGGTCACCCCCTTGGAGAGTCCCTGATGACCATCCAGCTCTCTGATTCCTGATCCTGGTTCATTCCTCTTTTCAGAGCTGGGGATGAAGCCCAAGGCTCCACATGTACTAGGCGAGGGCTGGCCAGCTGCTGCCCCAGTCCTGGGGCTCGGTCATTACCTTGCTGTCTCTACTACTGCCTGGGCTTGTTTGGGAGCATGTGGGATCCCTGGGCAGTGCCTGGCCTGGGGAAACCAAGGATCCCAAGTCCAGGGAGTGGCACCGCTCACCCCAGGCTGGAAAAACTGGAGGTGACCTAGTGCCTGCCCCACAGCTTAGGGGTCTGCCACCAGGAAGGCTCTGTCCCAGGAGAGCCAGGGTGGCCCTGCAGGCCTGTGGAGGGTGGGTGGGCCACCTGCTGGCCTGGAGGCTCCTCTGGCCAGGGAGCAGGTAGAAGCCTCCACCCCTGCTGGGTGGAGGCCCGAACCCAGCACCACCCAGACCCAGACCCGGGGCTTGGCCAGGATGGAAACTGGCTTGAGGGCCGCAGGAGTTGGGGGGAAGGAGGAGTGGGTGGGGCTGCAGGGGGAGCCTCTCCAGGTCCAGGTATGCTAGACGAGGTCAAGCTCTTGTCCCAAGAGGCCCACCAAGGGCTGCGGGTGTTGATGGCCTGTCCTCAGCACTGCAGGGGGACAGGCAGACCTGGCAGGAACTCGGGCCACAGATGCTGAGCCCTGAGCACCGGCACTGAGCCGACTGAATGGTGCAGGACAACGCCGAGGAGGGCCTGTGTGCACAGATGGGGTGGGGACAGAGGCCTTGACATGAATTCTTTTAAGCTCCTCACAAGCCCGTAAGCCGCTGTCAGGATTCAGTTCTAGAGGAGGGGAAACTGAGGCACGCAAAGGCTGGGGGCAGACCCAGGGCTTCTCCTGCCTCTGAGCCCCATTTCCCACACGCACTCAAAGGGGCCCCTGCCACAGTCCCCTCCTTGGGGATGGCCACCCTCAGGGCCTCCTGAGACCGACTGATTCTTCCCCGCTGAAAGTTCTTAAGACTGAGGAGGCAGAAGTGCCCAGTCCACAGAGGGGCCAGATGTGTCTCCCCTGTCCTCCTGTCTCTTGGTGGCCAGGGCCTCCCTGGACGGTGTCTTTAGGGACTGCGCGGCACTGGAGGGAGGCTTCCTCGCGGGGCGACGGCGCCCCCTGACGGCCACGCCGCATCAGGGTTCCCCAACCGGCGGCGCAGGCGGTAGGGAACCCGCGGCCCTCAGAGGTGGCGGGCGCAGCCACGGGCACCAACCCAGCGCTTCCCGCCCCGTCACTCACCCGCACGCGGTGTTCAGGGTCCCGCCGAGCAGGGAGCCGAGGATGACACCGACGCCGAAGCACAGCCCCAGTCGTCCCAGGGCCGCGGGCCGCTCGGCCGGCGCCGACAGGTCGGTGATGACCATCTGGGCGGCTGCGGGAGAGCAAGGCTGAGCGGGGTGCTGCGCCCCCCCCCGCCCGCCCCCCAGGCGACGCTCCCAGGACCCCTCCGCTCCGCGAGCCCCACCCCTCCACCCCGGGCCAGCATCGGTCACACTCCCACTGTCCCCCCCTCCCGGATCTACCCCCAGGCCACACGCCCACGTCCCCATGTGCCCCCAAGCCACGCCCCCACGTCACCCTCGGCGCAGGTCCCTACCCGGCAGCGTGTGCATGAAGGCTCCAGGCAGGCGGGAGGCGAAGAGCAGGAAGACGCCGGGCAGGGCTGGGCTGCAGGCGGCCGCCAGGAGCAGGTACAGAGCCGAGGCCGCCACGAAGGACAGCGAGAGCGCTGCGCGCGCCCCGTGCTGGTCTGCGAACCTGCGCAGGGCGGGTCAGAGGCGGGCGCTGACCCTGTGTCCCGCCCGTAGGTCCTGGGCACAGGGTACCCAGGGCCATGTGTCCCTGCAGCTCCTGCCTGCTGATTGATGGCGGGACTCCCAGCTCACTGCACACGGCATGGACAGACACGAGACCCTCAATAATTAAATCCTCCTTCTGGATATAAGTGGATGTCACAGGTGGGGCCCCTGGGAACCTACAAGGGACCATAACACCTCAGCACCTGAGTTTGCTTCTCTGTGAAAAATGGTGATGCCACATTTCATGGCCCAGTGTGAGCTCAAGGGACCTGGCAGGACTCAGTTCATGGCCTCTGAGGAGAGGGCCTGGTGAAGCGACACACGCATCCCCCTCTTCTCTGTACCTGCCAAACACCGGCCCGCCCAGCAGCTGAAGCACCCCGAAGGTCGTCTGCAGGTAGCCAAAGGCGACGGAATCCAGGCCCAGGCTCCGGGACAAATACTGAAACACAGTTGGGGCCCCATGGGAAGGACTTGGAGTCCTGGGCCTTTGGATGGGCAGGGGGTGAAGGATGAGCCTGGGTCGGGCAGGAGGAAGCAGGCAGCGCAGCCTGGGGTCCTTCTCTGCAGGACCCTGCCCCCCCCCAGGTGGGATCTGAGTGGCCCTAAGGGTGCAGGCCCAGTGAAGGCGCTGCTGGCCCTCCTTCCCCTCTGCAGGACCCACTTCAGGTGGGGCATGGAGAGGCAGCTGCTGTTTGCCTCACCCAAGGCTCTGTGGAGGACACGGTCACCTGCCCTGCCAAGGGTGTCCCAGCATCTTAATGACACAGGAGGTGGTGTGCTGCCCAGTAAGGCACAGTGTGCTCTGTGAGCTCTCAGTCCCTGGGGGGATGCCCTCGGGGGAGGAGCAGGGCATGGAAGTGTCCCTCCAGAGCCCCGGAGGAGTCCCTGGGACCCCAGACCCGCCTGCCCTAGTTCTCTGACTCTAAGACCCCCTCCCTCCCTGAGTTCCGCCCCGTCCTCCAGAATGATGGCTGAATTCATGTTGGGGCCCTAATCCTGGCACTTGAGAATGTGACCTGATTTGGAGGCAGTCGAGTTCAAGTGAGGACATCAGGGTGGCCCTAGTTCCGCTGACCGCTGCCCTGTCAGCAGGGTCCTGTGGACACACACAGGGATGGCCACATGAAATACATGAAGAGGGACGCACAGCCTGGAGGGGGCAGCTGCAGCCAGGCCCTGGGAGGGCCAGGGGGACCTGCCCCAGTCCCCTCAGAGGGACTTGGCCTTGCTGACCCCTTGACCTCAGACTTCCGGCCTCCGAAGGCCGGGTCGGCAGCTTCCCCCATACCCTGCCTCTCCTGCCTCAACCCCTGGACGGCCCTGGAGCCCCTCTGGGGCATCGCAGGCTGCTTGAGTGCCCCACACCCCTGATGGCGGGGGCTGAACTGCCATCTGTCCGATGTCTCTGTGAGCTTGATGGACAGCCCCCCACTGCCCCTGCCCCTGCCGCCTTCCACCTGCTCCTCTTCCCCTCACCCCTGCCTCCTGCTGCTCCCTCGGCCCCTGCCCTGCTGTCTGAAATCACCTCCGTGCGAAGCTGGCTCCTCTTGTGGCTGCCCCCTCTCCATGGCCGACGCCGCCATCCTCCCGAGGGCTCAGGCCCAAGCTCTCAGTGCCATCCCTGACTCCCCTTCTCTCAGAAACCTCCTATATCCAGTCCATCAGTGGGAGATCCAGATCCACACTCCCCCACAGCCATCCCTGAGTCCTCGGAGTATCTCCTGGACATGGCCCTCCCTGGCCTTGCCTTCTGTCCACTCACTCCTCTCCAGATGCAGGAATCTCACCACTGCCCCAGGGCCTTTGCACTGGCTGTGCCTCACCTGCTTCCTTCGAGCCTTAGCATCAGTGCTGTCTTCTCAGTGAAGTCTTCCTGGCCCCCAAACTGCCACATGTCCTCAGGTTCTGTCTCTCCAGCATGCTACCACCTGTTCCCCACTGCACCACTGAATTTGACATCTGCTGTGAGGGACGCACACAGTGTGTCCCCAGCTCTTGGAAGGGAATGTGGCCCTCTGGCTCTGCTGTCCAGTTCAGGAAGAGGGGTGCTCGTGGGTGCTCAGCACAGACTTGCTGGGCGAGGGTCCTCCCGTGAGAGGGGAGCTCTAGGAGGCCGCCAGGTGCCTGCCGTGTGGGCTGTTCTGGGGCTCACAGGCTCACTCCTCTCCCGTGTCCCTGAGCCTCTGGGGATACCATGAGTGGGGACTTGGCCTCAGTCACGCCACTGTGGGCCCTAGGACCTCAGTTCTGCCCAGCCTGGGGCCAGCAGCACCCTGGCTGGGCCCTGACCTGAGCCCAGCATGGAGCCCACCAGCCCCTTGCTTCAGGGAGCCAGGCCCCGAGAGTCCCCATGGGAACTTGGTACTGCGTGTGTTCCGCAGGGGACTGAACCCACGGCGCACTGAGCTACGCCCTGCAGCCCTGTTTATTTTTTTTATTTTGGGACAGGACCTCGCTAAGTTGCTGATGCTGGCCTTGAACTTGCAATCCTCCTGCCTCATCTTCCTGAGTAGCTGGGATGGCAGGCGTGCACCACCATGCCCAGCTTTATCTGCCTTTAAGAACTGCAGTTCACAGCATCTGGAGGACCCAATCTCCTCATTCAAACAGAAACTGACCGTCACCGAGACATAGAAGGGCCTGGAGGGTCCCTGGGTTCTCCCAAACTCCCTGGGCGCTGTTGCCCACGGAAGATGTGACCCTGTGGGCTGCCTCCATAGGGTTTGTTGAATGAATAAACAAGAGTGAAAAGTGGGAATGAAGAGAAGGTGGGAGGGGGTGGCACCCGGCAGCCAATAGTGACGGCATAGCCACCTGCCATGAGCCAGGCTGAGTTGAGGAACCAGCCCTGGCAATCGCCACCCTCACATTCTGGTCGGGGAGAAAAACAAATGGCAAAAATGTCCAGTAAGTGGGACAGGAAACATGGAGCAGGACAGAGCCGCTGGGAACGTGACAGTAAGGTGCAGGCCGTGGTGGGGACCTTTCTGAGGGGGTGACCTACCCAGAGGCCTGCACTGCCAGGACAGGGGCTGAGTAGGCGTCAGGCAGGGGATGGATGGGGCAAAGGCCCCAGGTGGGGGGCAGCAGGCACAGGGCTGGGACAGTCACGTGGAGGGCGTGCTGCCGGGAGGGCAGTGGGGGTGGCGCCCTGAGGCTCTGTCCAGGGCTGCTGCAGCAGGCAGAGCACAGCGCATGCTGATGGGGGTCACCAGGAGCAGTTCCTGGGCCCCTCACTTTATTCAGCTCCCGTGGCATGGGGTCCCCAGTGGGAGGAGCCTGGCAGCATCAAGCACCACCTGTGCTCCCTGCTACCGCCCACCTGGACAGCAGGTGGGGCAGTGCGGGGCCTCTGTCCTGCTGGGGGCATTACTCACTGGCAGGATGGAGAACTGCATGAAGAGGCAGGTGAGCTCCAGGGCGGCCAGCACGTAGGTGAGTGGAACTACCCAGGGCAGACCCAGAGTGTCCTTCTTGCTGGGGGATCGGCCTTGGCCCCTGGGGGCCGCGGCTCCCTGCATCCTGGGCTGGCGTTGTAGGGAGGCCGGGAGGGATCCAACAGGACACTGGCAGAGCCTTGGGAGCGGTCAAAGGGCAAAAGTCCGGTTGCTCTGGGTGCGGGTGCTGAGTCACCAGGCTGGAGGCGGGCAGAACAGCCTAGGGGAGAGGACAAGAGGACGGCACTGCAGACTGCAGACCACAGACTCCCACCCTGGGCCCTCCAGCCACCTGTCCTTGGAGAGCCAGTCAGGTGTCCCTCCTCCACACATCTGAAAACTCCCGGTCTCCAGCAAGGGCCTCCACAGGAAGGAAGACCAGGGCGACCCCCTGCCCTGCAGCTGGGCCAGGCCCCAGTGTTTAAAGGGAAATCGAGGCCCAGGGTGCTTTCTGTGGGCACGGGGCTGGCTGAGTCCTGTGCCAGAGGCCTCCCTAGGCCCACAGTGCCCATCTTCCCCAGGGGCTCCAGCCAGGGCCGCGGGGACTTCTGGAATGGTTCTGGGCAGAAGCAAGGAGTCACAGCTCTGCCTTCCAGGCCCCCCAGTAGAGCAGTTCTGCCTCACCTCCCACAGCAGGATGCTGTCCCCCCTCTCCCGACCCCACAACCGGCGGGAGCCAGATTTTGTGGCCCACTGAGGTCTTTCCAAAGTTTTGCCAACCTAGGCGACTAGAGTCGGGCCCTGGGCGGCCTTCGTCTTCAGACAGCCCAGGGCGGGGCGGCTGCGCCCACAGCCCTGCCCATCCCGGCGCCCGGGTCTGCGGGAGCCCGCACGCACGTGTGGGCGCATCGCGGGCAGAGCCTCCACCTGGTGCGGGTTCGGGGCTCAGCACCTCTCCTCGCCCTAATGAGCTCGGGTACCTGCTCCGCCGGGTGAGCTAGGCGCGGACTGGGGGGATGAGTCCTCTCGGGGCGACCCGGACACCCACCCTTCCGGGGTGAGCCCTGGCCCGCCCTTTCGGGGTGACCTGGGACGGGCTCTTCCCGCCCCCGAGGCCTGGCCCACCTCCTCGCTCCGCCCCCGGGGAGCACCCGCCCCGCCCATCTGCCTAGCGCGTCCTGCGCTCCGGCGCCCGCGGCCTCTGCGCGCTCATTGGCCCAGCGGAGGCCTGCCCACGGCCCCGCCCCGTCGGTCGGGCTGCTGCGCGGGGTACTGCTGCTGATGGTGTCTAGCAGCTGTGTGTGTGTGTGTGTGTTCCCCCATCTGGGTATTGGTGTGTGTGTTCCCCCATCTTGGTATTGGGGTGTGTGTGTGTGAGTGTGAGTGTGTGTGTGTGTGTGTTCCCCCATCTGGGTACTGGTGTGTGTGTTCCCCCATCTTGGTATTGGGGTGTGTGTGTGTGAGTGTGAGTGTGTGTGTGTGTGTGTGTGTGTGTGTATTGGTGTGTGTGTTCCCCCATCTTGGTATTGGGGTGTGTGTGAGTGTGAGTGTGTGTGTGTGTGTGTGTGTTCCCCCATCTGGGTATTGGTGTGTGTGTTCCCCCATCTGGGTATTGGTGTGTGTGTTCCCCATCTTGGTATTGGGGTGTGTGTGTGTGTGTGTGTGTGTGTGTGTGTGTGTGTGTGTGTGTGTGTGTTTCCCCCATCTCGGTATTGGTGATGGAACCCAGGGCCTCGCACATACTAGGCCCACTTCCTGGGGGTTTCAGATGGCCCTGCCAGCAGGCCTCTGGTTATATGGCTCTGTCCCCTAATTGCTAGTTCTCATTGGACACTCCCATATCCCCCCCACCCTGACCTGAGCTCCTTGTCCTCTGCAGCTTCCCGTTGGAAAGCATGCAGAGGGGACACTGGTTCTCACTTTTGGGCCCGGGTGTGGCCCCTGCCTGGGTTGCAGGGCAGGAGGCGGGGCTAGTGTCCTGAAAGAGCATCCTGCTGGAATGAGCGCCTTGGAAAGGTCAGTTCAGTGGCTCTCCCATGGTCCTACACCTCTAGCTCTTTTTATGTTTTACCTTTTTTTGAGAAAGGGTCTTACTAAGCCTAGTTGGTCAGGGTCTCACAAAGTGGCTTGTGATGATCCTTCTGCCTCAGCCTCCCCGGCCCCTGGGATTACAGGCTGGTAAATGCTGCATGGCCTGCAGCTTTTATCCAGCCCTGAGCCTTTGGCTGTGGGAGCGGGATCCCTGACCCCTGGAGTGGCCACCTAGGGTGTCCATTTCCAGGTGAGAAGGGGAAGCGTGGGGAGGGGAATGGGAATGGAGGAGGAACTTGGGACCAACAGGAAGAAGGGGTAGGGAGAAGCCAGGAGAGGGAAGAAAGGTCTAGTCTAGCCTGCCCGCTCCTGAGAGTCGGCCGGAGCCCCAGGGGAGGGGCAGGGAAGGGAGCATTCTGTGAACAGCTGTGAGCTCCTCCCTAGCAGCCCCTTACCCCCAGACCAGGAGGCTGCTGGGAGCTACTGAGATGCTGTGTTTCTCCATGTCAGCTTTCCTGTCATGTCCCCATCACTGGCCGGGCCACGGAGACGCATGGCACCTGGGTATGGGTAGCTTTGTGGCCCACACTGAGTGCCTTAGGAGTCTGCAGGAGCATGCACTGCCTGAGCGCTTGTCCCGGTGCCACACACCCTCAGTTGGTCATTGCTGGGTGAGCAGGTGCTCACTCAGGACCCTGGCTCCACTCTCCTGTCCTGCAACCCAGGCAAGGGCCAGGCCACAGGCCCAAATGTCAGAACCAGTGTCCCCTCTGCACATTTTAACTTCAGCTCCAGCAGAGTGCTGCAGCAGACAGAGGAGCTGGCATCAGGGTGGGGTGGACATGGAGGATCCCCTCAGGTGGCCCAGTGAGAGCGGGCCACAGAACTGACAGTTGGGGCAGAGACACAGAGTCTGAGGCCTGCTGGCAGGGCCATTTGAAGTCCCCAGGAAGTGGGGTGGCGCCTACTGCTCTGTGGTTGGGTGCATGCACTGTGCTGAGGGAGATTCCAGGGCCCACAGTGCCGATGGGGGAAAGCGTTGGCATCTGGGGGCAAGTTCCAGGTCCTGTCGGCTGAGTTTCAGAAATGGCACCTCTGGCCTCCGTGGGGACATGAGGAGGGTGGCTTCAGCCAGAGCCAGGAGCCTGGCAGCCAGCATTTCCTGGAAGGGTGCACAGGAAGGCTGGCCTGGGAAGAGTGGGGGCTGGGCTCTGGGAATCTCAGGGGTCCAGATTCAGGAGCCAGAGGGCTGGTGTGCAGATGGCCTGTCCTCTGGGGGTGAGGGTGAGGCACTGTCCCCAAGAGGTGCCAGACTCCCCATCAGACTCTGGGCCCTAACCGCCTCTCACAGATCTGGCCAGAGGTTGGCCAGGATCAGCTCTGCCTGGGGTCCTGGGCCGAGGTGGGAGGTGAGCATCAGGTGAGCATCGGAAACTGCCCAGAGGCCGGTCGTGGGAACCAGGGTCCCCTGGAGCTGGTGGGTGCCAGGAAGGGGCTTCTACTCACCACTCTTCCTCCTGTGCCAGAGCGGGACCTGGGTGGCAGGGAACTGGTTGGGCACACTAGCTTTTGTTTTTGTCATGAAGGGCTCAGTAGGGGTGGGACAGCTTCCTGGTTGCCAGGGAGTGTGGGAAAATTGCCCTTTGGGCTGGAAGAGGAAAGAGAAGCACTCAAAACACTGGCCCCTTGGATTTCTTCCTCCAGAGGAAGAGATTCTGGTTGTAGGCCAATGGGACCAACATGCACCTGGCCACTCAACAGACACTTTCCCAGGTGAGACCTGGTGACACTTCTGCCAGGAGACTGTCTAGGCTGGCTGCAAGCAGGACTTCATCGATCTGGGGTGGGTGGGGAAAAGGCCTGGCCGGGGGGTGGGGGTGAGGATGCCCATCAGGGGCCTTAGGGAAGCGCGGATCTGGTGTGTGCAGGGATAGCCTTCCAGGCAGAGGGGACAGTGAGACAAAAGCTGAGAGCTGAGCCCAGGCTTGGTGTTCAGGAAACCAAGAACACTCGCTAGGCCTGCAGCATCAGATTCGCAGTGGGGTGGGGGTGCAGAAACCCAGTCTGCAGGGCAGGAATGTGGTCAGATGTCCTGAGAAGAGCTGCTGTGTGCTGGGGGCTGGATCCCTGCGAACCTCCAGATGAGGGGAGCCCCAGCCTGCCCTGCTGCCTGGACCAGGAGTGGCCATGAGCTGTGGACAGGGACTGAGCACTGCTAGGTGCAGGCTGTGTCCCAGGCATGGCTACTCCCTGTAGCGTGCACTACTGTGGTGTGTGTAGGGAGAGGGCTGTGGGCCCGGCTCACCGGCGTGGAGGGCTTTGGCTTCTGCTCTGTATGCAGTGGTTCTGACCCGCCTTGTGTTCTAGGACCATCTCTGGCTGGCATGCTGATGAGGGACTGGGCAGAGTGGCCAGCGTGGGGGGGTCTGCACACAAGTGGGTTTCTATACCCCTCTGGAGGGAACAGCCAGGTGGGTAGGTGGAGCTCAGAGAACTGACCTAGGCCTGTGCCCTGTGGGAATTGCTGGTGTCAGCGAAACAGGGCACTGGGGAGAGCTGGCCTCCCAAGGAGAACCAGGGCTCAGTGCCCTGCACCAGGCAGGGGCCTGTGGGCCACAGAGTGTGTGTGGGGGGGCTGTTTGGGGCCGTGGGCTGAGCCGGCATATGATCTGGAGAGTCTTCTGCATCGAAAAGGTATTTAGAGCCCTGACCCTGGATAGGGTAACCCAGAGTGGACAGGGATTGGGAGGGCCATCAGGGCCAAGGCTGGGCCCCTCACTAGAATGGGGACCCCAGGGACTAACTAGGAGGGAAAATGGGAGTGGGAGGCTGGCCCGTGGAGGTCTCTGGAAGGAACACTGTTGGCAGGGGCTGGGGCCCCGGGGACGGGCTGAGTCAGGGCTGCAAACCTGATCTGAAGTGGGACGGTGGTGGGGTGGGGACATGAGACAGAGAGAACTCTTGTTAGACATTTTAAGATATTTAAGAAATGTGATACCACCCAGGGAGGAGGGTGGAAGACAACTTGAGGGAACTGTCTGGCCTAAGGGGCAGCCGACAATGAAGTCCTGGAGATGGGCATGCCACCCGCCCCCCGCCAGGCCTTCTCCTCACCCACCCCAGATCAGTGAAGTTCCCTGGAGCACCCCGGGGTGTTGGGATGAGCCCCATGGAAGGTGCTGGGCTTCCAGTTATGCCTCCTATTATCCCAGAGGACTCACCTCAGTGTCACTTCTTTAGGGAATCCAACAGAGTTCTGGCTGGGGTGGGACCAGAACCTGGGAAATGTCTAATATGGGTCTGGGTGGTACCAGCCCTGGAGAATTCAAGACTCTACACCTGGTCACCAGCCCATCAGGCACTTCCGGTCCCAGTGGGGTGAATTTCCAGGCCTTGGCCAGCAGGGGGAGCCCCAGCAAGGCCCTGTCAGGAGCCTCCAGGTCAGGGTGGAATTTAGTGGCTGTCCTTGGAGCCACCCCAGTCTAGTAAGGGGCATGGAAGCCTGCTGCGGGCATTGGGGGCTTGGCCTTGGTTCCTTGCTACATCTTGGAGGCTGTCAGCAGAGTCTGGGGGTGGGGTTCAAAGTCCCTCACCCCCACCTGCGCTTTGGTCACTGGAGGGTGCTGGTGGAGAGGCTGCCTGGGGAGAGATGAAGACTGAGCAGGAAGGGGCAGGGCTGAATCTCTGAGCCAAGGGTGGGGTTCCTGCTCACCCTGAGGATGGGCCAGTCCACCCGAGGACTTTGAGCCACAGCCTGGCCATGTCCCTGGGGGAGGCTCTGCTCCCCAGATGGGCTTCTCCACCAGGGCTGCTCTGTGTCCAGTGACCCTGGGCCAGACCTGAATGCCAGCCTTCAGAGACAGGGAGGACAGCGGCCTGCCATGGGCTCCGGGGGCAGCGCCTGGGCACCAGGGCGGGCAGACATCCTGACCTCATCCGCTGAACTCCTCTGTAGACCAGGACCCCCAGGGGGACATGGCTCGCGTGGCCACATTGAAGAGCGCTGAGGGTTCGATGGGGAGCGTCTGCTGAAGGCCATGCAGCCCTGTCCACGGTGAGGCCTGAAGATGGCAGACCTCAGGGGTTTCAAGTGACAGC